TTACCTGTTAAGAGTTCCAGAATCCTTGTTAATTGATTTGATATCAGATTTTGGATCAGGTGAATAGGAACTCCATGATGTTTTAGCACACGTGACTAACTCTTTTAGACCACAATCATTTAAAGATTTACAAGGAACCACAATACATGTCTCTATTATATTGTAAGCACTAAAAAGCAAAAAGTTAAATTAAACAACATTCATAATAATATAATGGATGTAAATATAACAATTGAAATTATATGTTACAAAAATGTAATTAATCTTGGATTTTATACCAATAAATATACCTTGTTATTAGATTATCGATCCAACTGGTCATTTTAGTTTTCGTACGATCAATAAATTTATTTTTAGTTTCCAATACTATTGAATTTTTGAAAGCTTTTATCACATTTTTCCAATCTTGAAAAGATTGTTTATAATTTTGGGCTTTATTTATAAAGCTATAACAAAAATAATTATTTTTAAATTTAATAATTAAAAATTAACTGTTATGATTAACCTCGTTTGACTAGCAGGAACAGATGTATCTTTAATGGTTTGCGATGGTGTAACTAGAAACTGAGTATATGCCATAGTTACATTTTCATAGACTAGCAATACGGTCCATATTCCTTGTGACAATGGCATTGGTAAAATCGGTTTACTAAATGTTACCTAAATTATAAATATTTTAATTTTAAATAAACTAGCTATAAAACAATTAATAAAAAGTACCAACCAAAGCAGATTCTTCAATATTTATAGATGTAACATTAACCAGTTCGTCATAAGGATTTAACCATAAAAATGTAACTGTAAAACTCTGTTCACCAGAAGCCCATTGGTGTATTAATATTGGCTCTGTATAAGGACTTATGAGACGTATAAAATTCCTAGACATTTGTTCTTTTTTATCAAAATCTGAACTGACGACAAAATTCTGTAATAAATTATACTGAAATACATATTTTTTCATAATAGTTATTCAATTTTTTAATTACCAATAGCCTATTGATTGGATCTCTATTGTGTATAGTTATTCCTTGTAGCTTTGGCCAACACCAACTTTCAAGTAGTAATTTAGTAGAACTATTAGAGAAACTGACTTCATATTGAATTAAAAACCCCTAATGAGATGATATGATTAAGTATTCATTTTAAATTTTGGTCTATTATTAAATCAAAATTACTTTAAATTGATCTTTGTGGTGATAAGTGAAAACTTGTCGTAACTTATCAAGACTACGGATTTGACAAGTTGTGTGAGAAGTAGTCAGATATTTTGTTGCAACTCGAGCAAGACTGGTTCCAACTATAAGCAGTGATTCATCAGGTGCTGGGTGTACATCCTCATGATGGTATACATTTTGCCAATAGCTCATACGGTTTTTAAAATCTAAAATATCAAATTCAAAGTATTTGAGTTATGTTAACTTAAGTGTATTACATTTTGCTAATAAGGATTAAAAATTAATATTAGACATTACATAATTAAGGATACTATTTAAACGTTTTGAAAAGAAAAATTTACCTGCAGGGTATTCTCCATACAACCAAACTTCTAGTGTGTCTATAATAGACAAGTTGATAATAGGTTCAAATTTACGAGCAAAATAAACTTGTTTCTTTTCAGTGTTCTACAAAAAATTTTTTTTTAATAATGTCATATGTATTACCTAATTTCAACAAAATAAATTTTAATTACATCCTAGCAAGAGTTTTTTAAGAGTTGAAAAAAAAAGTCAAGCATGACAATATCATTGATACTATTATATCAATATCAATATATCTTAGACAATATCACACAAGAAATAAACAAACCGTAAATTAAAAACCAATTATAATTACAAGTTTGCACCAGTCAATAACACAATTACTGTAAAATAACATAAAACAAAAATATGAAAGATGAGATGGGATGCATCTTATACTACAACAACACCCCCCCTCCATTCACTCTGCAATTCTACACACTCCATGCCCAAAAAAATGAGATGCTCTCTAATCTGCAACTAGTCTATTTTAGAATACTATAATGGTATAACAAATAGCAAAGGTTTTGATAAATATTAAAATATTTATATATAATAATCTATTATCGTGGTATTCAATTTTGTAAAATAAATATTTAATTAAAAGTATTGCTTAAATTATTTGTTTGTATTCTAAGTGGGTAGACATTGTCTCAATGACTCCTATGAAGCTTCGCCACTGCATAGTATCATTCTAAATTATATTACCTTAATGCGGTTCCAGTCGTCATATCGAAAAACATTTGGGCTACAACCACACCAATCAACAACATGGCGATATTGACATTTGCAGCCAAGCCATCTTTTCCAATTGGTGACGTGTAAATTATTGTCAATATAAGTTTCACAAAATGGAGAATTTCTTAATACAGTGTGAAAAAATGACTAGAATCAAACAGAAAAAATCACAATATTGCATATTTATTTGAAATTAATTTATATGAAATATTGTTATAAGTACCTCAGCTGGTAATAAAGTGTACTTAAAGAATTGTGATAGACCTGAAATAAGAGTATCACCAGCCACTAGATAATCAACAAAAGGTCGAGACAATGCTAGCCAATCACTACCACCGTCCCAAATAATGCCTTTTGGTAATTCTTTTTCTCCTACACGCCACATTCTTGCTTCACACTCTACAAATGTTTTGTCTAGTCCTTGTTTTTGTATAAATTGTTGAACTTCACGGCCATGTGATTTGACAAAATTATGTTCACGATTCATAGTTAAAAACTTTACCAATGCATCATTTGACCTAGTAAATTTATACATATATTAATAAAAATGACAATCTCAAAAAAATTATAAATAGGTATATACTAACTTTATGGGAAAATCAGATTCACTCAGATTAATAACAAAATCCCAATCCCAGGAAGACTCTACAAGGTCTGACATGGCATCCATCAACGTAGTTAATAATGAAGCTCCTCCCCAGATGGTTGAATGCCTTCGACGTGATAATCGAATATTGCTCAATGCTAATTCAATTTTTAATAATTCTCTAAACATGTAATCATGCCTCTGCAGTTCAAAATAAAATAAAATTATGAGTAAATTTACATAGTAAAATATCAGGTATTAATAATCTTACAGAATCTACATGTATAAAAAAATAATGATCACGATGAAATAGTGCTTTGATTAATCTATACACTTGTCTTACAGCTCTTCCATTTAACGTTAAAAGAAATACAATTCGCACAGGAGGTGTATTATTATGTTTAAAATTTGGTGAAGGTTCTGAAGCCACTTTAGCAATGAATTCTAAGCAAAAAAAAACTTATTAAAAAACTGATGGATCAACATAATATTAATAATGAACGCACTAGAAACACCAGTTTTAAAAACATTAATAGTATAATGTCCACCACACATTTGACTTTGATTTCCTGGACATTGCATATCACAAAATGTATCTGGAAGTTTTGAGCCCCATTCTGGAGTTTCATTACCACAAAAACATTCAGTCCTGTAAAAATGTATTATACAATCATTTACAAAAAATATTAGAATATTTAACAATTTTTATTAAAACATATTATGCATTAGTAATTAGTATTATTACCCATATTCAACTCCAGCATAAGCAAAACCAGATTGAAGACAAAGATCTACACAATTGTCTTGAGAATTAGTTTGAATAAGTGTAGTTTTATAACCAGGCAATAATTTAATTTCTTTGCCATCACGAAAACATCCTACTATTTTATTCTGTTTTACATCTAATGATAAATTAAACAACAGTTTTAAATAAATAATAATACTAAATTGATAACGAAGTATAAATGTACAATATGAGTTTTAATACCATTAGTTGGACATTGATGCGGCAGTCGTTTGGGATATGGAGGATTTGTCTTAATTAGACACGATATGTTTGCTATGATTTGTTTACAAGTTTCGGTTTTTGCACGATGTAATGCAGATACACATTCACGACCACTTATATCACAAGGTGGCACAAAACCTAATTCATCTATTCCTAATACTCTATAATTATCAGTCTTATAATTGCTGTGCCGTTGTTGAAGCGCTTTATTAAAATATTCATTTGATGATGCACTATTATCTTTGTCTGGTGGCAATTTATTACGATGATTACTACCACTCGGAACATTGTTATAACTTGACTCTTCATCATCACCAATACCATAATCAGCTACATTCCTTAATCTGTTTAACGACTAAAATAAAAATGTTATTATTATAATTATTGATTTTTTTTTAAAGTGAACAAACAAAATTATTTTAAAACTGCTTACATTTGGAGAGAGTTCTTCGACCACAGAATATTCTTGAATGGAAAAGAACACAAATGCTAACGCGACTTGAACGCATAAGATGATTGCACCTCCGATGCAAAATAAACGGTATCTTTTCAGCCATTTAATATCCATGGTTGTTGTTCTCGTTTTTCGGCTTTAATGCTTCATTGACACCAGCTAAATATATACACATAATTTTCTTTATTTTTAACTACAGCTCAGTACTTACAGAAGCTAACAAATACTAAAGAAAATTCAAAATTATATTTAAATCGAATAGGTGTAATCTTCATCCGTCATGAGACAAGTCACAAAATCACAAATTTGCTTCATCTGATTAGACAATCACTCATTATCAGTGATGTACAAAGAGGTTACAAAAAATTGTTGTTTTATCATTAAGATTTAATTTGATACCGTTGAGTATGTCAATAATCTATTAATCTATGCCTATTGTATTTGTACATTTTCAACTTTAACTTCGTACCTTCTAGTTGTAGACAGTAATTTTAATTTGTAGGCACTTGAGTATTAAAAAATCTTGATTCTTGACTCCTAATTAAAGACTTGAAATTGGTTGATAAATAATTTTTGTTTTTTAAACCACGGCTTTAGATTTTAACTAATTACTAACTGAAGAACATCAATTGATTTTTATAATTTACTCTTAAAACATTCCATTTTCAGTTATTAAACCAATAATATTGCATTACGATGAACTCCAACACTCTCAATATAATAACTTCGAAACAAGTCTGTACAAAATTCTATTTGTTTACAATTGTTCTTTCATTTCTCAGTAGAGAAGTTTATTCTGAATGGAACACCAGAGATTATATGAAACGTGAACATTCACTGTTGAAACCATACCAAGGTAAGAATAATGATCTATTAGAAAGTATACGAATAAATCATCTAATAGATCATTTTTCCGACAGGGTCTGGCATAACAGTACCAAACTGGGACTTTATGGGTTCCACTTTAGTGACCGACAAATATGTGCGATTAACACCAGACTTACAAAGCTTGTCTGGTTCAATATGGAACTCTATAGTATGTATTTGTATTTTATAGTATGTATACTTAAATTAATCTAGTTATCAATTATTCAGTCACATGGTCTAATTACTCTGATTGGACATAAAATCAATTAAAACACCTACTGATGGCTGTAGATTAATTTCATCTATTTTATTTAATTTTATTTTTATTTAGCCCTGTTATGTCAATAATTGGGAATTACAAGTACAATTCAAAATCCACGGAAAGGGAAAGGACAGTCTTCACGGTGATGGCATGGCTATTTGGTACACCCGAGAAAGAATGAAAAATGGGCCAGTTTTTGGCAATAAAGATTTATTTGAAGGGCTCGCTGTTATTATTGATACATATAGTAATCATAATGGAGAACATAATGTATAACTAATAATTGTTTTTAATTTGTCCATGTTATTTAATATTTCTATTTTTTTATTTTATATACAATAGCACCAACATCCTTATATTTCATCAATGGTTAATAATGGATCTTTGCAATATGATCATGACCGTGATGGAACCCATACAGAACTGGCAGGATGTGAAGTTAAAGTCAGAAATTTACCGACTGAAACTCATGTTTTAATAAGATATACTGGCAATACTCTAACTGGTAAATTTAATTAAAACTTATTACTCTTGATTAGTTAAGTAAATAATTTTTATTAATTTAATTGAATATTTTAGTAATGACAGACTTGGAAGATAAAGCTGTATGGAAACCCTGTTTTTCTGTTGGTGGCGTTGAACTGCCGACTGGTTACTATTTTGGATTTTCTGCAGCAACGGGAGACCTGTCAGATAATCATGAAATTTTAGCTGTTCGTTTATATGAAGTGGATTCTGATGATCCTGTAAGTATATTATTACAATACTACCGTGCCAACACAAAATAGGGTATCTCCACTCAACAAATGATTGTTGAGAAACAGCAAATAACGTTTTTAACAGTAAATACACAGTAAACAGCATAAAAAAATTTGTTATCCAAAACACGGATGCTCCATTATTTTTCATGTGATATACCTAGATTTTTATTTGGATTTACGGTGTTTTTGCTTACAAAAAATCAAATATATTTTACTTACTGAATATTCTCTTATTTAAGATTTCATTTTTAGATGGGTTTCAATAAGAAATACGCTATTTTTAATTCAAAAATCTGTGTAAAACAATTAATTTTACCTATAAGAACATTTATACGTTTTGTACATTATTCAATATTCCTTACTAGCCAAAACTAAAATAAATATTTATATCAATAACAAAAATAGCTCGTGCAAATAAGTTACAACCATATAAGATAGTATTTTGAATTGCAACTGACAACTGCTTGATAATAATTATAAAAATTAAAACCCATTATTCAGCTAATAGAAGAGTTTGATTTTCCTTGTTAATTTTTTTTTGTATACTTTGATAATTTTACTATAATTTTTTTTTTTAGAATGAAGCTCTTAAGGATCGTTCAAAAATTATTCCAAATGCTAAAGTATTCAGTCCACCTAGAGGTAATTCTATCATAAATACAAATGTATTACCTATTATGACACTATTGTGTTTTTAAATGAAAAATATTTTTCTTTTCTAGAACATATTGAAGATACCAAGAGTCAAAGTTGGAGTGGTTTAAAAATATTCTTTATCGTTTTATTTGTTATTATTTTTATTGCTGCTTTAATTGTTGGTGGTGTGTGGTATTGGGAGTACCAGCAAACTCAATCACATAAAACATTTTACTAAAAAACTAGCTCGAAAACTAGTTAAATTGTAAATTCAAACAAAAGAAAAATATTTATTTAAATTTTAACATTGCCATCACACAAAAAAAAAAAGAAAACATTTATTATCATATTCGTTTTTTATTATTAAAGGTATGAAAACAAATAATTATATACCAAGTTTTACATGTTTCAATCAAATTTCAGTAAAAACAGATCATTTTTTATTGTAGACTCGTGTTTTTGTGTATTGAAATATTTTTTTTGTATAATATAAACGGTATTTGTGTTCCATTTTCAATTCCATTCATTCTTTATTTTAGTCATTAGATTTTAGACTGTTGTACTATAGACTAAATACACCAATACACGTGATCTACTTTTATACATTGTATTAAATAATACTAATAATTTATTATTAATAGTTTTTTATTTTAAGCCTTAATAGCAACTTGTTACTAAGAGTGCTTGCTAGGTTATGTAAACCTAACCATTATGATGATGTATACTAATATAATTAACAGCTTATGGGATAAGACCACATTAGTTTTATGTATTGAAAGTATGTCATCAAAAAGAATTTCCTTTAATATGGCTTTAGCCAGTTACATTCTTAAGACAAACTATATAAATACCTATGGCAATATTATAACATCCATGACAAAATAATTTGTATTTATTAACATGTGTCCATCAAGTTCACTGTCACAGTTAAAATTTATTTTATAGCAAAAACATGTTAGATTATTACTTACTAGTCATGTATTAAATTTTATTACATACTTCAACTTTCAAGTAAAGTATTCATTAATTATAATTATGGTTGCAGAAAATAATTTAAATAAGCTACTACAATTTTTGATAACTATCAACATTATAATTCATTTGAAACATGTTCAGGAAGTGTTATCTTTTTTCAGCTGATTTAATTGTGATTGTAAATCTTTTATCCGCCTATCTTTCACACATATCAATGAACTCATGTGGTCAATCTAAGTAAATATTATTTGATTCAGTTTTTATTATAATTATAATTTATAGCTAAATAAACTAAAAATATTTTTTTTGAAAATGGAGAATTTAACATGACAATTACAAATTCCGTGAGGATTTTGTTTTATTAACTGCATTACAAAGTGCTAAAATAATCTAACCTTGTGTTCCATTTCATTGATTTTATGCTCAAGTTTATTTATTAGTCCTACAACTTCTTTGCTGAGATATTCCTTAGTGCAACAATCAGTTTCTGAAGAAAATAAAACAATATTATGAACACTTAATACCTACATGACAATGTATACACTATTACTAATAATACCTGTAACTTGAATCATTTCATCGTTAACTATGATATAAAGTGGACAATTTTGATCTTTTTCTAATCTTAATTGTTTTTCGTGTTCATGTTCATCAACTACTACTTTTAAAGATTTCAAAAACTGAAAAATAGTATTTGGATCGGCTGTTGATAACTTTTCAATAGTTTCCTTAGAAATTTGTAACTTTACTTTCTTTAATACCTTTTGACAACATTTAATAAGATATATTATGTAAGAAATTGGTCACTTGTAGCTTTTGAAATTTACTTTTCTATTTAAAGTATTCCAATTCGAAATCTTATTTGTCAATGAGCTAGCTGGTACATAATTGTGAAGGTCTATTAATTTTGGCCAGTAAAATTTTATTATTTCAGCAACCATAGCTATTAAAATTATCTATTATCAATTTCACAGAACACACTTTAAGTAATAATTGTATTTTACTTGCATCAGAAAAATCTCTGACAATGGTTTTTTTTGGACGAGTAAATTCAAAAGAGTTAATCCAATGAATTACGTTACTTAAATTCATTGGATTATCATTGTTCAAAGAATCACCATGCGATGACATAGGAAAACGGCATGATCGATTTTCACAGTTTGAGCTATCACTTCTAGTTGTCATTTTTTAATTCACACAATAAATAACAAGAATTTATAAAAAAAGAAAGTAAAAAATTATATTAATAAAATAATTATTGACAAAAATAAAACTAGTTACTAGGCAACATATTTTGTTTTCTCTTGGAAGATTAAAAATTATTTTTAAAATAAGGAACAAATAAATATAATATAATGAGACCTTAAGGAAGTCTTAGTAAAATATCTAAAATTAATATTAAATTTAATCATCGACATTATCATTATTGTTAGCTTCTTCGTGGCATGAGAAATCTCTATCTATAAATTCAACTTTGAATCTTTTAATGCCCCTTGATATAAAATGAAGACGATTTTCTTTATTATCAGCAACTTGTCTCTTTAAATTTTTCTTTATATTCTTTGAAATTCTGGCAAATGGCATTATTTTACATTTTCTGTCATTAACACCTTTTTTATCAGCCATCTTCATAAGTTCTTTATACATTTCTTCGTTTGTGTCTATAAATGGTATTGCTTCATTGATTTTAATATACTCGTTTGGTGTATATGCATTAAGTTCATCATTGAATATTTTACAATTATTTTCATTGATAGGATTATGCATTAAGTTATTATTTTTACTTGCTGGGTTACAAGGATGTGTGTGGAAATGAGATGAAAAATGTGATTTATTTGAAGTATTAAAATCACTGTCATTACCATATTTAAGTTCATACTCATCATCATCCATGGGAATGATTTTATTATTTATAATTTGAGCACTTGAACTGATAGGAGTAAAGTTATTGACACCATATTCTTCAATTTGAACATTAGAGGAGTTAATAGGAGCAGAATTTTCATCAATTTGAGTGCTATGGCGGTCAACGTAATCGTTAGTAGAAACGTAGCAATTCATACATTCCAATGGTACATCGGTTTGAATGCAATTGTTTCTGTCATATACACAACCAAATGATGTAGCAATACTATCCATAAACTCTTCATGTTTTTCTAATAAATTAGTTTGAGTAGACTTTGGTTTTTTTGTAGTATTATATATTATAGTTGATTGATCACTACTACAAGTACTACAAGTAGTACATTGAGAGTCATTAGAACTTTCACTGCTCGAATAATCTGAAGAATTATCGGGTGATGAATAATCTGTTTTGTCACTAACATCTAATGATTCAACAGATGATTGATTATAACTTGATACAGACTCATTAGAATTGTCAGAACTATCATTACTTATAACATCTGAATATTTGTAGCTTGGTGTAAATGATGTTTGTACTTCGTGGTAACCCAATTGATAATATTCATTTTCGAATTTGGTAACAATACCATCATTACCAATCGTAACATAAGCATCATCTATTTTAGATTTAGCTTTTGATTCTTCTTCATTTCCTAGTGTTGCTGTGGGTGATTGGTCATGACCAGTAAAAGCAGCATTAGAACTTTCATTATTTACAATAACAGAACACTCGTTACTTGGTATACGTTTTGTTTCTTCTTCATTATTTGGTATTTGAGAATTATATTTTAAATTGTCATTAGTTCTTACATTATCATTACCCAAATTTTCTTTATCACTGAAGTTTTCTTCATCATTCAAATCTTCTCCATCACTCGTATCTTCTACATTGCTTAGATCTTCTTCTTCATTACTTACATTTTCCACATCACTTAAACTGTCTTCACTCTGCAAATTGAGTTCAACATTCAAATCTTCTTCACCCTGATCATTTAATCCATTCTCCAAATCGTCTTCACTTTGCAAATTGAGTTCATCACTCAAATCATCTTCATCCTGAGAATCATCTTCCACACTTGATTCCTCTTCCACACTTGATTCATCTTCCACACTTGATTCATCTTCCACACTTGATTCATCTTCAACTTGCAAATTTAATTCAATATTCAAATCTTCTTCGCCCTGAAAATTTAGTTCATCGAACAAATTTTCTTCATTTTGCCAATTGATACTATCGCTTGAATCATCTTCGGCCGGCAAATCGATTTCATCAATCAAATCTTCTTCACCCTGAAAGTTGATTTTGTCATTAAAATCTTTATCAACGTGTAAATTGAGTTCATTGTCCAAATCTTTTTTAACCAGCAGATTGAGTTCATCACTTAAACTGTCTTCACTCTGCAAATTTAACTCATCGTTTAGATGGTCTTCCCCTGGGAAATTGAGTTCAGAGTTCAAATCTTCTTTAACGTTCAAATTGAGCTGATTGTTCGAATTTTCTTCAATCTGGAAATTGAGTTCATTGCTCAAATTTTTTCCACCTTGCAAATTGAGTTCATCATCTAAATACTTATAACTTGGTGAAAGTCGTGAAACTGGATCTGTATACAATTGATAATATTTAGTGTTAGAACTATCAGTAATATAGTTTGTGATTAATGGGTATTTTGATTTTTCATTAATAAAGTCAGTGTTTAATGAAGGTTTTGATTCTTCATTTGTACTGACGGTGATTAACGAAGGCTTTGATACTTCATTAACAATATAGTCAGTAGTTAATGAAGGTTTCGATTCTTCATTAAGAAGTTCAGTGATTAACGAATATTTTGATTCTTCTTTAATGTTTCGTAATGCAACTGATGATTGATTGTTACTAATAATAGTATCATCAGAAATTTTTTCATTCATTATAATATTTTCACTGCTTTCCATAAATGTTGTTTCTTCTTTAATACCAACAACAATACATGGGGAAATTGATGAAAGATTACTATCAACATTACCAGAATATGTATTACTTATAACTTCAGAATGATTATTGTCTGATGAACATTCGGTTAATTCAGTTGATGATTGGTAAAATTCAACTTTACATTTGTCATTATTTTCATCGTATTCTTCTTTTATTTTCACATCTGGATACATATTACTTGGTATGATTTGAAATTCTTCTTTTATTTTCACATCTGGATGTATAATATTATTTGGTATAATTTGAAATTCTTCTTTTATTTTCACATCTGGATACATATTATTTGGTATATTTTGAAATTCTTCTTTGATTTTCGGTGATTCATTTGGTTGATAATAACTAGTAGCAGAATCAATAGGCATTTCACTTTTTACATCTAAATGTTTGTAGCGCGAAAAAGGTTTTGTATGTTCGCAGTAGTCGTGTAATCCAGAAAATAATTTATAATATTTAGTTCTAACATCAGCTGCAGATTTATTTGATGATTGATTATAAAAAGTAGAAATATCTTTATAATTTTTACTGTTTATGATTTCTGGATACTCATTTTTTATTGTTAATTTAATTTCTTCTTTAATATTCTTTATTTTATATGGAGATTTTTTGTACTTATTATGAAGGAAATTTTTTTTATAATATTTTACTTCACCACCATTAATAAGTTTTATATTTACTTTAGGTTTCATTTTTTCAATTCGACCTAGTTTCAATAACTCATTGGTACTAGTTACATAATTAACAGTGTGTTCATTGTTCTGAATATCTAAACATGTATTACTTGTTAGATCATCTTCTTTATTACCAAGTGATACAGACGATAATTCATTAGAATCTTTATCATGCTCTATCGTTTTGTCATTTACTTCATTATCTGTACATTGATCTAAAACTAAACTTTCAATACATGGTTTAACATCCCAATCATAAACACTAGAATCCATAATAGGGTCGCAACTTGTTTTAGCCATATCAACGTCACGGTGACCACCATATTCGGTTGTATTTTCTTGTTTGATTTTTGCTCTATTTGTTTTTAATAATCTTTCATATTCTTCTTCATCAAATTCAGTTTTTATTTCTTTTACAACAGTATTAACTTTTTCACGTTCATTTATTTTCTTTTCAGGAGGCTTTCGAACAGTCATTTTCAGCTTTTTATTTTTATTGGTTTTTACAGTGCACAAAAAGTTAACTAGTGAAAATTTATCAGCTTCTGAATGACTAACATTACTACTGTTGTGACGGCGATAAAAATGACTATGTAAACAATCTCTTTTCACTATCATTTCACATTCGTTACATGAAACCAATATTACTTTATCAAGTCGAGGGACTAAGCCAAATACAGGAATGTCGTCAGTAGATAAAGTAATTGTGTTTTCTGATTTGGCCGGATCATTTTTCTTTGAGTTTTTGTTGGAAACATTGTTCAGTTTATCGCTGAACACGGACCAGGACTGATTTTGAGTTGTTTCGAAAACAGAAACAATGTCCTCTACAACTGGTTGTTTGCTAGGAGAAGACATTGTATTCTAGACGCTTGGTCTAGCTGAAAAAAAAAATACCCAAGTATTAGGACGTAATATATTTTATTATTTTAATAATAGAAATACATCATTTTGAATTTTGAATTATAGATATTATAGGTAAGGTACATACTATATAATTTTACTTTTTGAAAAGCTACAAAACTACTGATAAGCAAATCTCCGATATAAGTAATTGTTAATTGTTTGATACTTAATGAAAATAATATTTTTAAATTTAATTTAAAATGTCTTATTTATAGAAGCTCCTGAGAATACAAATCCATAGGCTCAAATTAAGATGTGTATTATATAATATATGCTTGACCTTTGTACAAAAGTGAACGCCATAAATTTATCCATGTAAGATTAACGATTGACATGCAGAAACCAATAAGAAACAATTATTGACATTTGATTAAAAATGGCATAATCTATGACATCTGTTTGCTTTTAAGATGTTATACATTATTACTCTATGGCCTATGCTCTATACCTGCATGGCTGCATGTGTTGAATCCATTTTACTAAAATACAATATAGACAATCAGTGTTCAGCATAACCGATTCTGTGTTGTTAGCTTTAATATTAAAATGAATTGACTATCATCAGACTTAAAGGGAAAAAACGGTATCTGTGTTTGTATGTTGGATTTTATATGATATTTTAATTATCAAGAAATTATGAGTGTATGAAATATTACAATTTAAATATACTCATCTTGCTTGACAACATATGTATAATAAAAACCTACATACAAACACAGATGTTTTTAACAACTATGATTGATATAAGTTAATTCAATTTAATATTAAACCTAACATCACAAGATTAGTTCTGTTGAACGTACATTTGTACAATGGAAAGAACACATACTTGGCAGGTACGGAGTTCTCTAAAAATTAAAATTAAATATTTTAAGAAAATGATAATTTAAAAATTTTATATTACACTAAACTGTATTCAAAATCAGTTTGAATTTATTTTTATGTCTGGATGAATATATAGTGATTGCGTTATAATTTACATTTAGGGTCAGAATAAATTAGAATTCAATTTTCTACCAATTAACTAAATGATTTTGACATTTCAAAATTGTAATATTATGAAAACGATTACATTATATACAAAGGGAAAACTAGTATTTGTTAAAAAGTAATTATTACTGGATACCTATTTAGTAATTTTACACAATGGTTTGAAATCCATGGATATTCACTTGCATACTTAGATAGTTTGAGTTTTTTTATTTCCCAGTATAAATAAAAGTATCCGTGCGTCTGACACCATTTTAACGTCATTGTATAACATTATTAATTGCTAGAAATAAGGTGCAAAAAGTAATGTCATAACCTAACTTAATGTATATTGCTACTCACAGTCTTCAATCTTCGAGTATATGTACTTAGTAGTATGTCTGTACAGAAAAATCATAAAAATGTATTTTAAGATGAGAATTCTTTTCGGAGACCCTCAGTGGTAAACGTAATGGGGGACATAAGGTCAGCTGGTATTGCACAAAAATGTCTAACCAAAAGTGGTTTTGAAATCGATAGTTGAAATTATGATCAGAGAATCGAGCATGTTAAGTGGCTTTAAATTAAGTTAATGAGTAAGGAGATTGATGCTCACTACCGTGCTAACTTACATTGGCAGCCCTCTTCAGCTATACAATTTAAACACAAAAATCGATCGCTGTACTTTGGAGTCTTTAAAAGGCACTCCCCCCTCCCCCAAGCTAGGATAGTTATTGTTAATAAGTATTTTGGCATTGAAAAGTTATATAAAACTATGTCATTCTACCCAATAACACAGACAATCATACCTACCTAAGCATAAAATTTTTCAAGACTTATAAATAAAATGAAACAATGCTTGAACCGAATTTGACATAGGCAAGATAAATGATAAAATTTAGGACATTTAATTTATTGAGAGCAGGTAATAGGTAAGTAAAAAAAATACATTTATAAAAAAATTTTTTTTTTTTTTAAAATCTGAACGGAATTATACAGATAAATATCAAAAATCAAAAATCCAGATCACATTATTTTTCTCTATTCATTGTTAAAAAAAAAAAAAAAAAAAAAAAAAAAAAAAACATATTATCATTCCATTGATGACATCGATTATTATTGACCAGCTAGGTACAACATATTATCATCATGACAAAATAGATTTTCCATTAAATATTTTCTAATAAATCTATTTTGTCATGATTATTATTATGATCAAATAGTTTATCGCTATAGACACGCCCATTAAGTATGCAACAAAATAATATGACGTGCCGTCTTCTAACAATAATATTATGATATTAGTTTATTAACTATCCGTGCCCATAGGCACCTAACTATATATTATTATTATTATTATTATTGTACAGTGTACACGTAAAATACTATGGTAACATGAAAATATTATCATCCAAAGTGAGTCCAAGAAATATTGCGTTACACGACCACCGTCAAACAAGCGTTTAACTATATATTATATTACTATTCGATAATAATAATAGTATAATATTAATATATTATATGCATACGTATTATTATTATTTTCAACCCCCGTTACATAACGCTTTTGATACTCACAATATGTGCAAATTTCTCTCGCCGCTATATGTATATATATATATATGTATAAAATAAATTCTATATAGGTACATACATATATATATATATATATACATATATGTGTTTCGTACAGTCGTCCGCCTTCTACATTGCGCTCAACGACTCAATTGTGTCTAAAACGATAATACGACGTACGTCGGCGCACGAGGAAAATATTGCACGGATTTTCATTGTTGTTGTTGTTGTTGTTATAATTATTGTTATTCACAGATTCGACCGTCACAGCCGTCATGTTGACATGTCTGTGTGTGTCTCAGCGTTGGAGAGAGAAAGGCTGTAAGGTACTCGGTGAGAAACGAGAATGTGTGAGATCACGACTGGATCAGCTGCAAGTTGCGCGATACGTCTTTGTATCTTTGTGCGCGAGCGTGCGTCCGTGTGTGTAGTGTGCGTGCGTGTGCGCCGTGCGGTTCGTCGATGATACGCCGCGTACGTGTGTGCGCGGACGGCGGTCTGGATGTGAGCGTGTCCCGTGTGTCGTGTGTGTGTGTGTGTGACTCAGACACTCGGTGGCCGTGTGACTGCAAAGCACTGAGCCAACGTGTGCAAGGAGTGTGCTGCTGTGGCCAGGCCCCACTGCCACTGACGAGTGAGGCTGCCTGGCTGCCGAACCGCGGCCCTATAGGGTGGCGGCGACCGCGGGTGACGGTACGATCGACGATCCTGGGACGCGATAAACAAACCGCGGTGGGGACGCGGAGGGCGGACGGTACGATGAAATAAAAATACGTCATAAATTGTGTACAAGTCGATGTTTACTCCTCGAACCACGGTCAGACGTGGAAGGTGTGTCCTTGATAAAATCGCGATTTTTTTAATAACTTTTTAGCTGCAGACGCGATTTTTATGATCCACTATCGACTTCTGACCGTGCTGCAGCTTGCAGCCCATCTTCGGGGGAGGAGAATTGAGAATATTAAAATTTAAGATGACCTGCCCCGTGGTTTCGACGCTTGTCGCCAATAATTTGTAAATCGGTACTTTACTAGTTTCCTAGATCCAATTTTTTGCATACAACGTGGTCGATTGTCTGTAAAAAAATCAAAAAATTCAAAAATCGAATTCGTCAACATCGAACAAGGTATCGATTCGATTAAATATTGTGCATAGGTTACTGTGTTCGGTTGGCATTTCTGTGCGGATGATTATGATTTATATGGGGGGAAAAATAAACTTTGCGATTTAAAAAATATTACCTATGTGATAATCGGTAAAAAAAGAACAATTTACATAACATTAGTATATTATTTAAAATCATAATTATAATTTTATATGTTTTATGCTATAAATATTAAATTTATAAATAATTTATCACAATTAAAAAAAATAATTAATGATATTCGTTAGTCAATAATAATTATAGTTGTATTTTTTGTCTAAAATTTTTAAGGAAAATAATTTTTACTACCCTCGTACTTTTCACTTTTCACCAACTTTATTAGAAAGACTAACTTTTGTTCACTCAAATAACACATTAAGATAATTAATGAAAAGATCTGCATAACTGTATAAGACATTTCCAGTACTTATTACTTAATAAATTTATTTTGCTCTATTACAGGTGATTTTTTTTATCAATGAACAATCATTATTTCAAGAAGTGTAAATGTTTTTGAAAATACTATTTTACCTGGTTTCAAGTCGGTTACAAAACAACGTTTTTATTAAAAAATTATATTTTTAAATATTTTTTATCCTTATAATATTTTAAGTTTTTTACTTTTTTTAATGATAACAGAGTTTTAATTTCATATTCCAAAGCAGAATATTTGTATTTATTATTTATTATTTTATAAGTATTTTGAAACATAAAAATCTAATTTAGGGCTAGTAGTTTATGAGTTATAAGTATATAAAGATTTGATGAGCGGAGTAGAGTGGTATACGGATTTCCCCGTGAAATGTTGGTCCATTACTCCACTCATCAAAAGTTGAAATACTTATAACTCATAAACCACTAGCCCTAAATTCGATTTTTATGTTTTGAAATACTTAGACAAATATTCTGCTTTGGAATATGAAAATCATCGATATAGATAAACAATAATATATTAATATATTGTATATCTATCTCGATGCTCCGCGTTAATATCTATTATATCCTCCAAAGCAAAAAATTATTATTGATGACATAATGTTGTCATAGTACATGTTATGGAGGTAAATACAAAATATTTTATTTCTGGATTTTTAAATTATATAACTGATAACTACTATAACACAACAATAAATAGACATATTCGATTGAAGTTTTCGGTAACCTACTTGTTAACTTGTCTGTGTTAATTGGTATATGTGGAAATTGTTAAGTTATTTGATCTCCACACTGTAGTGTTAAATCGTCTTAATTATTTCAAAACGTG